TAGGTTTCCCCCCACCCCACCCAAGCGCGTCGCCGACTGTCTCCCTCCTCCAACTCCGACCCCTCCACGCCGACGCCGCCGTCCCCCGACTCCGCCCCGCCCTCACTGCCTGACGCCGGTGAGTTCCTCGTCTCTCTGTATCCTCTCTCGTGTGTACTGCTCTAGTGTGAACTACTAGGTTGGATTGGTGGCTGCCAGTGAAACAATTTTGTATGGTGCTGGCAATGTTGTTGGTACTGTCAATGCTTAGTGTGATTTTGTTGGTACAGCCAATGATCCTGCTAGTGTGAATTGGCTGCTGCTGCTAGTTCGGTTGCCTGATGTGCTTCTGTATGGTGCGTGGTAGATAGTGGCTACTGTGACATCATATTAGGAATTTTTGGACGACGACATAAATGAATTTTTGGTCTAACACCAAGATCTCCTACTCCTGATCAATTGAACGAAACCCACTGTTGACTGTACCAATTGAACAAAGCTGCAGGGTACATTATGTTAAAGATTTCCTACTTTAGTGATTTTTAGGAAGAGCACTTAAAAAATTTAGTCAACATTGATTTCCTACTTTAGTAAAAAATTATTTGAATTAGTTTTAGTGCAACAGAGGCAACTGAGAGTTTGAAAATGGCATTAAAGGAATTTGTTTTTGGGGTAAATTCTATTATGAAATAATTCCTACTGTTATTTAAAATATAAATGAAATGATTTGGAACACCAAGCAAGAGTTATGTTTCAAGTTGCTGAACCTTTTCATATAAGCTTGCAGAAGATTTAATTGATCATACAGAAAATGAAAAACGAAGGTCATACCGATCATAGTTGGTATTATTTTTCATGGCTAGAAGATATATTGTTGTACCCTGAGTGAAGGGAAGGAGTTTGCTGGGTTTTGTCTCCGACCATCATGTCGTGATGATTTTGCAGGTACCCCGAGAGGCCCTTGAGTTTGTCGGAATGTCGATTAACTTCCGTTCCGGCAAATTCGGATACTCCATATGTCCTATTTTCAGCAAAGGTCATGATGAAATTTTTCGTGAATTTTAGCATGACTTTGCTAAAAATAGGACATATGGGGTACTTGCGACAAATGCATGGGCTGGGGTATCTTAGTACTTAATTAAGTAGGATCAACTGCCTCTTGTGTTATACATATAGAAGTGTGATATCAACTCATAGTTATTACTAATGTCAGTTGCTCGTCATCGATAAACCCTAATCTAGAAGAGGAACCACTCATCCTATGTAGTTTTGAATTATGAACGTAGGAAATGTCGTCATCGGACGACGAAAGTCTCCCGGGGGAGTGCGGCTGGTGCCACGACGATCGAGGTCTGTGCGACATGCCTCACCTGGATGATGATCGGCGCTTCAGCATTAAGCTCGAGGAGACCTTCGAAGTTGAAACGATACGCAACGACGACAATTGTTTTTTTCATAATTAAGCATGACTTCAACTATTTCAACGTGTAATTTTCATCTTTTACAATTCGAGTATAACTTATCCCATGCCATGCAAGACGCTATATCTTGGATAGGATAGATTTTGAAGACCATGAAATTTCTGAAACAAAGAAAATTCACCTAAGGACTCATCACGATGTGGACTTTGAAGTAAATCTGTATAATTCTGAGAGCGTAACCCATTTTGGTTGCAAAAATTGGGAAGCATTTTGCAAGATGTATGGTTTTGATGAGGGTATGCTTATCACCATGGATCTTGGTAATCCTGACATCGACCAAGATAATATGGACATTTGGGTCCTTGTTGATACGCCTCTAGTTCTACCGCTATGTGAGTTTCTCAAACATAGTTATTAGCTAATTTATATTGTTTATTTCAAAATAGTTGACAGCTTATTTTCATTGACAGCTTATTTTTATTGTTCAAAGAATGTCCGGGAGATGGTAGACAAAACCCACTACACCGATGGCTCCGAATTAACAACTTACAAGGAGAAAAATCATCTAGTCGGATTTTGTACTGACATTGAGAATTACAATATCCACAATCGAACTCCTCAACATTATGGTCAATACGTGCCACTTGCGCATGTGTTCAACTACGGTAACTACCATGGAGATACCCTGGTAAGATTTTTACTATTACGACATCCGTGCATCTTTTGCATACTTCCAAAACTAGTACATCATTGCTAACTATGAAGTTATTACCATGTTTTTCAACAGATAATCCCAGAGAATTGTGTGCCTCATTTGATGTATCAGAAATGTAGTCTTAATGTTTGGAACATACAGCCAGGTCATCCTACGAATCTCAACTGTCCATACGAGATTTCTAAAAGAAGTGGAGACATGAAAATCAAAGGATAGAAAAAATGTATGAACAGTCGTAAGGAGGTTCTTGGAAGCAAAAGGAAGAGAAGCGCAAGAATTGGAGACAGGATGTTCTCCATTCTCCATAATGGAGGGTCAGGGTCTATATTGTTTTATGCTATTTTACCTTAAATAGGGTATTTAGGTCCTGCATAATACTGATGATCATGTGCTAAGAACAATTAAGTAGGGTTGGTTTGATGACTATCAGGATGATGATCGTATGACTTGTTATTAATAACGAGTAAAAGTTGTATGATGATGATTAGTAGGACTTGTTAGGATTAGTATTACTCCCGACAAACTCGCTACTCGCGGTCCCAAGACTTGTAATGTTCTATCTTTGTTCGATCTTTTGAATTCGGAGACTAATATGATGAATTGTATTCGGAGACTAATCTTCTATTGTATTCGATGAATCTCCTCTTGCTGTATGATGCTGTCTATATTTTGTCCAATAATATATATTGTAACCTGTGCAAAAATTAAAAAAGTAAAAAAAACTAATATTCATACTAATGGCGCATCACCCCACAATGCGCCATTAGTATGCCAAAGCACATGGGTAAATATGCCCCCTGGAAAGCATACTAATGGCGCATGTTGGTCTATACTAATGACGCACGGCGTGATGCGCCATTAGTATATAATACTAGTGGCGTGGTACTAGTGGCGCACTAATATAGCGTCATTAGTAGGCAAAACTGGTACGCCATTAGTAGGCCTTTTCTTAATAATGCGCTGTACATGATGCCCTGACTAAATGCGAATAGAAGTGCATCGGCTACATGCAAATGGCGGGAGAAGAGGCGATGTCACACGGATTAAGACCCCCTGTGATCGTGAAGGCTTGTTTTGTT